ACGTTTTAATTGATTAATGGACTTGAGTTGGGTCCCGCAACTCCCTCTCATGTTTTCTCCTTAATGCGGCATGTACTGTATTTTTTCTTTCTTTTTTCTTCCCATATATAAATATAGGTTAAATGCTAAATTTGGTCCCTCAACTTTAATGAGTTGCACATTTTTGGTCCCTCAATAATTTTTTGCACTTTTTTGATCCCGTAACTATACGAAATGCACTCCGTTAGTCCTTCTGTTAATTCGAGCCGTTAAGTCGCTCATGTGGCATTTTTTATAGTTTTTTTTATGACATGGCAAAAATAATTTTAAAAAACGTTGATCTGAAATTTTTTTTAAGCCACGTTAGTGTCAACTCACCACCAACTCATCAACCAATTTTGCCTTAATAAAAAAAAAATTACAAATTTACCCATCTCCCTTTTCTGATCCATCTTCTTCCTTTTTTCTTTTTCTTTTTCTTTCTTCCTCTTCTTCCTTTATGTCTGTTGGGTTCCATCGAACCCAGTTGCTGGGTTCGACGGAACCTAGCCTGGGTTCCACCGAACCCAGATCTGCTGGGTTCGAGGAACCCAGATCTGCTGGGTTCCGTCGAACCCAACAACTAGGTTCCTTGAACCCAGCAACTGGGTTCCATCGAACCCAGCAACTGGGTTCCATCGAACCCAGCAACTGGGTTCCATCGAACCCAGCTCGGGTTCGATGACTGGGTTCGAGCTAGGTTCAAGGAACCCAGCAACTGGGTTCCATCGAACCCACTCGAACCCAATCATCGAACCCAGCTCGGGTTCGATGACTGGGTTCGAGCTAGGTTCAAGGAACCCAGCAACTGGGTTCCACCGAACCCACTCGAACCCAATCATCGAACCCAAGCTGGGTTCGAAGCTCCACTTTTTTTTTTTTTTTTGTTATATGTTGGTTTGCGAAGAGATTATCCAAGGCATTATATGTTTGTTATATGTTCAAAATGGAAATAGAAAGAACAGAAGCAGTTGGGCAAAGAAGCAATTCTTAGTGGTTTTCATTTGTTTGGCTGGAAAATGGTATAGTTTGGGTGTTTGGATGCTGAGAAAATGCTTTGAATTTGGGTGTTTGGATGCT